ATCCAAGTAACATATAAAATTGTAAAAGTAATGCGATTTCAAGGTGGTGAGTCAGAAGAAGGAAGGATGTTCACCGGGAGAGGTTTTTTGGAAGTCGGCAGTTTCTCGTGCTTGTGTCGTGAAAGTATCTTTAGTCTCAGGTCTGAGGCATTTTAAGAAAGAGACAAAAAATTAAAACCGTCATTTTCTCTTTGCATAGCCGATAAGATATGTCTGGGAACATTCAGCAATTTGGAAGACCTAGTTTTAATCATCTTATCTGTGGCCTTTTTGAACGAACTAATCAGTATGCTACTGTACGCTGATTGGTCTACTACATGATTCACCGCTCTAGGCCGTCCTTTTTAGTCGATAATAGCGTGCTATGTGCTTAATATAGAAACAGTCAAATTGAAGTCAGTATCGCTTTTTCCTTCAATCGAAGTCCGTGTTTGGGCTTGTGAAGGAAAAGTGTTTGCATCTTTTCACATATCTCACTATGGTGGGGGCCTCAGACTCCAGAGAGTGGTGGAGACCAAAACCACTTTGGTCTAGCAGCACCGGGGAGTCAACTAATAAAATTATGAAATCTGATCGCTGTGGCATTGCATGCTGCCGGCCAATATGCCTGGAGCCTTTGCGTGATATAAGGGCTTTCATCGCGGCTGCGTGTTTTATTTCCTGCTTACAGGCGTCATTCTCCGGCTATACCAGTTCTCAAATAACGACAATCGAGAAGCGTTTTGCAATTGGAAGTATCATTATCGGTCTTATCAATTCGTTCTTCGAAGTCGGATACATAAGTTGTGTAATGATTGTCAGTTATGCTGGCTCCAAAGGAAGAGTGCCTCTTTGGATATCATCCGGTCTTATGGCAATGAGCGTCGGAGCTTTCCTTTACTCTACACCCCACTTTGTCCTCCCACCACCTTCATCAGCATCTGAGAAGAACATTGACCACTTATGCCCTGAAAATTTTTCGGAAAATGCGAACAGTTGTATTGAGGATGGAGTCCAGGGATACGATTTTTTACCATGTTTCTTGTTTGCACAATTTTTGATTGGCGCTGGTTCTACTCCTATTCTCACGCTGGCTCCGCCATTCGTCGATGATCATGTGCCCCCTAACAAGGCACCTGCAATGATTGGTAAGTGACGACTTCCTCGGGTTTCCGTCGTACGTGTTGCATCATCGCACCATGCAGTCTTTACAACTAAGAAACTGTTTCTTCATGATTCTCTCATCGCGTATTACAAATTAACGTTTCAGTATTCCTTGTAGCACACATGGCCCTTTTGTCCAGTCCCAAACTAATTAAACTTGGGTAAAAGGCGTTTATTTTGATTCTCCGTTCACCTACTCTAGCCGCGGACTGGGGTAAATACAACAATCAGTATTGCGCCTTTCAAAATTATACTTTCTGGCTGTTTACAGTCACACTTCAGGGAAAAGTGTTCGCTAGTTCGCACTTGTTTTTTTTCATAACCATACAAACATTTACTTTTGAAATTCCACCTGAATTTTTTTAATGAAGTTCAACCGAGTAGATTAACACTCGCTATTTTACAGAGCTTGACTAGCCTGCTTTGCTCAAGTCGCATACAATGTTCTGATTTATTTAAGCCCGAAATCACCCATCGCCCCAGACTTAGTGTGACCTTAGCGTACGAAAATGACGGACTTTAGTTCAAATATATCGAGCCTAAAAAGGTTTGGACCGAAAGGTTTACTGGTGCAAACTACAAACTTAAGCAAGGCATTTAAAAGCTCTCTTTAATTCTGCCAAAGTAATTATTAGGCCGGATTCTATTAGTAGCTACGAACATTCCATAAGCTCGTATATAAGCGTTTGATTTTAATGCCCTTAACCAGAAAGCATGCCCATAAATGTTTTTTCCCCAATTTATACGCCCTGAAGAGCTGAAGCGACATTGATAGAAGAAACACAGAAGATACTCAATGTCCAATATGCAATGCATGTCATATGTAGTTTACGGACTGAAAGTATCTTAAGTAACCTTCTAACCCTGTTATACTGCATTTAAAAGTATAAACGCTTTCCTTCTAAATCACTACAGCATCCCTTTACGCGGCAGCCGCTCTGGGTCCAGTGTTCGGCTATGCGTTAGGTGCAATGATGATCCAGTACCCTGCGGACAGAATAACACGAAAAGACATCACTCCTGATGATCCCAATTGGATTGGCGCCTGGTGGGCAGGCTATATTTGTCTCGGTGAGCACTTTTCATCACAACACTGCCAAATGCATTCTAAGATTTTTGAGTTTCACCTGATTCTTTTGCAACATCAACATGTCACTTGACATGGAACACTCATTTTGACATCCGCTTTCTGTATAAGAGTAATTTTCTAATTAGGCGTTTGCTTCTAGGAATGATCGAACTGTTATGAATAGGTGAATACACTGCCTATCACCCGTCACCCAACGTCTAGGAATGGACATTTTACCGGCCATCTATAGTCCTTTCTAGAATTTATATCACATGTATTATTCTTTACCCTCATGCTCCGTAAAGTTTATTCCATGTTAAAAAGTAGGTATGTTATTCGCAGACCTACTCATGTCCCCCACACTGCACAAAATCTTCCAAACGACATAATTCGCTTTTTTAAAATGAGCTTTCCATATTCATTAAGTATTTGAAAGTGCTCTCAGCATCTCAAGTGGTGTAAGCGCATATCCGAAGTCCACGAGTTTGCCAGTAATTTACTTTTTAACTCCTGCCAAAACATGCGGGGTGGGCGGTTCGCGCAGTTATTTTTGGAAAATTCTTGATATTAAACTGCAAAAATCATAGTCAGCTATATTAATTTCGACTCAAATGAAAAAAAAATACTAGTGTTTTTTTTTAGTGGAAAAGAGGCATTTTATATCATAGGCAGAATACTCGCATTAAACCTATGGAATAAAAGTAGGAACTAAACCGGCCTTTCTGCTTGATGTCACCAAATCAAACGAAGAAAATAGGTTGTTATTCAATCCACAAAATTTGGTTTAATAATCCATAAATAGTATGGGATGGCCCCAGAAAATCTGATAACTACGAGGAATCTGATAACATAGCGGTAAGGTAACAATGCAGTTGGCGAATGCTGAAAATTTGATTCCCGGGTGGTAAATCAGAAGAAAGAGGAGCGTTCACCAGGAGAGGCGCCACAAAAGGCCACGGAATGAACACAAGGCGGGCCGACACTAACGTAAGCAGCACGGCGACAGAGAGGAGACCGACAGATGAGAAGACTGAAGATGCGGCGAGAGACACACAGTGACTCAAACATGATTGGTAGAACAGACAAACGCAAGAAAGGGCGGTATAAAGACGAGGACCGTGAGCCAGAGTATCCATTCTCTTGTAATAAACCTCTCCCGGTAAACGCTCTGCATTTTTCTAATCATATTGTCTTAATTGTAAACATTTCCTTGCGTTTTTTATATGCTGACAAGTTTTCTATGGAAGTTATTAGTCTTGATGGGCAAGACAGACTTCCGTTCTAAAACAATATCTTATTCTCCTCAGTCTAGTTGTCTCATCAGAAATGGGCTTGCTGTCTGCGAAAACATATGATTTGGAAAATACTAACTGTATCGAAGAAGTGGCGTTTGGCGTAGCAGTAGTGTTCGCCGACGTATCTTGTTCCGTTTTGCCATGGAGTTTCGGTCTATTATTCACGAATGAGCAACAGTCAGAAATAATTACCAACAAGAACTTTGGAGACTGCAATGCCCACTCCTGATAACTCAGACATAAAGTGTCAGTTTACGAAGGAATAAAACATTTTAGCCTTATTTTCTAAACTTTATCAGAGTATTGGACTGACCCTCATCCCATACTAGCAACTTTTAGGGTTGTCGAGTTTCCAGATTTTTATATGAGACTAATTTCTCAAAGAGTTCGTGCTTTGTGTGGAATTCAAACAGCTTTTCTTTTAGGTTCTAAGGACTGTTTTGAAAACCGCGCGAAAATCGGCTAGTTCATCAATAAACTATCCGATCTAACTTCTCATGAAGTTTTCGATGATGTCCACCTCGATTGTCCCATGGTAGCGAAATGATCGTGATCGACGTCATTAATTATCTTATTACTCCGGGCTGGAACGCAAGTTTGATTATACGTTCCGCTTAAACATTTTTGACCGCTAACATCACCACCGAACGTCGATTTGTTTTCACCGAGTTGCAAGGTTGAGCAAGAATAGTACGAGCCAGTTTATCATGAAATTTCGTGACCCGCACGAGGTGGATGCCGGGTAAAGAACTTCCATAGCCTATATCTGTCATGATTTTTAATTCGATGTCTGCCTAGAAATTGAGCGCATTATGAATCATACCTGTGCCCAGATAGTACTGTTGATTTGTTTGCAAAGTTTTTCACCGCCAAGTTGTTTACTTGGCGAGCCTTAGGTTTTTTGACCTCTAGCATCCAAAAAACTGTAGTCTTACCAGCTTTGCTTAGTAAAGGAGTTTGGATGAACAGCTGAACATTTTTATTATTCTGAGTTTTCGAATTCCTGTAGGAGTTAATTCCTAGGGATTGCAGCAGCAGCAGCAGCAGCAAAATGGTGACAGTTCTAGGAAGTGCAATCCAGTCAGTTATCAGTGACGCACCTCTGGAGGTGACTGCGCAGACGCGTCTTCGAACCGCGTTCCC